AAAATAAACTTAAAACTTATTTTAACTTTAAAATTTTAACTAATATTAATTAAGTATTTATTATATTTTAAAATAATAAATATTATAATAAATATATTTCTTTACCTTTCTATTTATTAAAAACTAATAAAAATAAAAGTATTAATAAAGCTATTTAATTAAACTCTATATATAATAATAAGTTAAAATTAATAATAAATTCCTTAAACTTATAATAAATAGTTATAAAATATATAAATATTAATTATAAATAATTAAATAATTATAAAACCTTAATTTTAAAATAAAAATATTATTTATATTAAATAATAAAAACTACTTTATTTTAAAAGTATAATAATAAAATATAATTATATATATTAATAAAAGTTACTATAATATTAATTATTAACTCCTATAACTTAAAATATTACTTTAAAAAACTTAAATATATAAAAACTTTATTAAATAATATATACTTAATAAGTATTATTAATAAATTTAAAAATATATTTAAAATTATTCTATTTATTAAAAATAAAAATAATAATTAATTATTATTAAATAAATTCTAATTAATTCTATCCTTACTATTAACTTTTATATTATTATTATAAACTTTATTATAAAATTATTAAATATACTAGCTACTTAAATAACTTAAAAACTAACTACTATACTATTTTTAACTCCTTTTATTATAATTAATAAATTTTAAAAACTAACTTTATTATTTTAAATAATATAGTTTACTTTACTAATAATTAGACTATTATACTTTTATATATTTTATATTTTAGAAATTAAAGTATCTTAAAGTATATAATTAATAATTATAATTATAAATTTTATTAAAGCTTTAATAAGGATTATAAATATTTATAAATATAAAATTTTTATTTTTATAATATAATACCTTTAAATAAATAAATAATTAAAAGTTAAAATTAAATAATTAAAATTATAATTTATATATAAATAGCTATTAATTTAAATTAAAAATAAATAAATATACTTCTAATACTATAATTTAACTTTAATAATATTTATAATAAAATAATAAATTACTTTATAAATTAAATCTTATATAATTTTAACTTATTTAAAATTATAATAATAAATAATATTATCCTTATTTTACTTAAATAAATTTATTAAAAGGAAATTAATCTTTTATAATCTAAGCTTAAATATTTACTAAATAATATTATAATAAAAGTTATTACTAATTATAATTAAAACTAAATAATTAAATATATTTAAACCTTAACTATAAATATAACTTTTAAATAAGTTATTTTATAAATTTTAAAATAATATATAAAATTCTTTAAAATTAAAAATAAGGTAAATAAATTAATTTATTAATTAAAATTACTACCTAATATAAATATCTATTTTATAATATCTATAATATAATTAATATTAATTATACTTTTACTATTTAATTTATATAAATATAACTAACTATTTAATAAAAATAAAAGTTAAGAATAATATAAAAGCTTAAAAGCTTTTAAATATTATAAAATTAACTATATAATTTAAAGTAAAATTATAAAATAAAGTAAAAAAATAATTATTAAATATTTAATTAAATAAAAATTATTTTAATTATTATAATATATAAATACTTAAAAATATTTAAATATAAACTACTTAATTAAAAATTTAAAAATAAATAATAATAAATAAAACTTTATATAGTTATTTATTAATAAGGAATAAAACTATATCCTTTTAAATTAAATAAGTATTAAAACTACTTTATAAAAGTAGTTTAAAATAATACTATAATAAAAATAAAATATAGTTATATTATTATTAATATAACTATTAAAATAGTTAATATAATATAACTTAATAATAAATTAAATAGTTTAAATAAATTTATTAAAATAAATAATATAAATTTTATATAAAATAAACTATTAATACTTTAATATAATTAAACTTTAAAATAAATATAATATATAAATTTATTATAAAAGCTTTATTTATTAATACTATAATAATAACTATTATTTACTTTTATAAAATATTATATACTTATAAATTTAATTATACTTTTATTACTATTTATTTATTTATTAATTATCTATACTTTTATAATTATATTTATAACTATTTTAACTATATTTATTTTTTATTATTTAAAGAGTATTATTAATAAATACTTTAATTATACTTAATTTATATATAATTTTATATCTAATAAGTTAAAACTTAAATTAATTCTTTCTATAATAAAGTAAAATTATTAAATATTATTATTAAATAGTTAATTTATATAAAATAAAAACTCTTACTTTTAAAATATTATTAAACTATCTATTTATATAATAAAAGATAGTTATTACTAACTATATTTATACTATTTTATTAAATATAATATACTACTTTTTATTATAATAATAATTATATAACTTTTTAATAAACCTTTTATAATAAAAATATAATAACTTATTAACTTATAAAGTTAAATATAATATTTATATTTTTATAATCTTTTACTATTCTACTCTATTAATAAACTTATTTTATAAATAAATATTTAAACCTATTTTATTTATTTCTCTATCCTAATTTAAATTAATTATAATAATTTATTATATTATAATTAATTATTAAATAAAATATTTAAATAAAAGAATAAAATTTATAAATTTTAAACTAATTATATTTAATATTTAAAAATATATATATATAAATAAAATAAACTTTAATCTATTAAGCCCTTACTTTTATAACCTACTTTTAAACCCTTTTATAAAGTATATTATATTTATACTTTTATATATTAACTTTTAATAAAATAATATTCTAAGTTTATAATATTTATAAATAATTTATTAATAATTAAAGTTAAGTTTTTATAATTATTAAAAAACTATTATTATTTAGTTTTTATTATAATTTTATTTATATTACTAAAATTAATAAAGATTTTATTAATAATTAGGTTATAAATATTAAAATTAATAAATAAATTATAATTAATTTTATTAAAAAGGTTAATATTATAATTATTTTATTTTTAATATAAAATTTTAATTTAAATAATAAATTATTTTAAACTTATTTTAATTAATTATAAATATTATATATAAAATATTATTAACTTTATAAAAATAATAATTATAATTACTTTATATATAATACTTTATTTAAGTTTAAGTTTAAGAGTAATTTTTTATAATTTAAATTTAATAAACTACTATCTTTATTATATTTAATAAAAGTAATCTAATTACCCTACTATTACTATAAAAGTAAAACTATTATTAAAATATAATAAACTTTTATAATTAATTTATTAATAAAAACTAAATAAATATTTTAAATTTAATATAATTTAATAAGCTACTAACTACTATAAACCTATTATTATTAAAACTATTTTAACTATATAAAATTAATATATTTTATAATTATATTTTATATTTATAATAACCTAACTATATATATATACTAACTAACTATATTATTAACCTTTATAAAACTATTAATTAAATCTATAAACTTAATTAAAACTACCTTACTAACTTTTATCTATTAGCTTTATTTTTATTATATTACTTTATATAAACTATTATTTTAATATTATTAATAAAATATTTACCTCTAATAATATACTTAATAATTAAACTACCTTTAAAACCTAGCACACTAAATATATTTTACTATTATTATTAATTATACTAATACTCTTTATTACTATATTATTAAACTAATTAAATATTTTAAGAATTATAATATAGTTAAATACTATATACTTTATAAAGTAAAAATTAACTAAATTACTATCACTACTATTAATAAAGTAATTAATAATTTTTAAGGAAACATTATTAGCCTAACTAATTTCTATAACTAAGTTTAAACTATAACTATAGTATAATACTTTATTACTATATATAATAAGCTAATATTACTCTATTATTATTAAAATTAAATATACCCTTAACTTCTTATTATACTACTTATTATAACCTTTAATTAACTTTATTTTATACCCTTTATTTAATTAAAAGCTAAAAGCTACTCATACTTATAATAATTTTATAAATAAAGTTATTACTATAAACTACCTAATTAACTTATAAATATAATTATATAAATTACCTTACCCTATTATAATAATATATAATAAATTAAAAATTACTACTATAGCTAGATAATAGGTATTTAAATAGAACCTTTTATTTATAATTAGTACTATTTAGCTTATTATTTATATAAAATAAACCTTATTTTTAAAAGAAAGTAATTAATATATAATAAATTTATTATAAATTTATAAATTTATAATAAATTTATTAAAAAATAATAATTTTACTATAAATTTATAGTAAATTTACTATATTATAGTAAATTTATTATAAATTTACTAGGTAGTTATTTATATAGCCTTTTTTTATGTATTTACTAGGAATTTATAGGCTATTAATTTTATATTTTCCAATACATAGGGTCTCCCCTTAGCCTCCTCTTCCGGGATAGCCTCTTATATCCTAGCATTTCTCCAAGTTCCACACTAAGATAATACTATATATTAGCATATCCTCATCTAAAACTACCCTAGGGAGTCCCTTCTAAAGGGGACTCTTTCTCAGAATACCTTTATATAAAACACCATGAAGAAACCCTTACTGTGAGAGAATTTAATTGCATTAATATAAAGAATTGCAGCCAGTAGGAATTTGTTCTAAACTAGAGGGGCTCTGCAGCGTAACAGTCACCATTTGTAAAGCCCACAACAATAACGAGCTGTCGGGTCCGTGTTAGAAGATGCCAAATCTCGGCACGTAGCGGACACCAGAGCGAAGCCCATGCGCTTCAATACCTGGGATTCCATTTGGAATTATTATCGTGGCTCAGGCGTGACTTATCATTCCAAAAGTCTTACAATGTCACCCAGGTCCCGTGACATGGCGTCAATATCGCGAAGGGGCATCCCTGTCGCGCCAAGGGTCGAGCCGCGACAAACCATCGCCTCTGCGACGACATCCCCTCCAGCCGCGACATTACAGCTGAGAACTGCAGTAATGTGAGACTCAATTTCCCGTGTGACGGAAATAAATTTGAAGACTGCATACAAGTAAAAATGTGTGGAAGATACGCTCTCGCGCTGGTATGACCTCATCGAACCCCCGCTCAACCTACAGACATGCGGCAGACTGACCCGGCAACCGCAGCGGCCGTCGCAGGTGCGCCGAATGCTCCAGGACGACGACATGCCAGTCTGGGACGCCCCGGCCGACGAGGGCGACGACGCCCCTCGTCAGAGCTACAACTTCGCCCCCGGGTACCACGGCATCGTCTACCGCGCAGACGTGCCCGACTGGGGCGCCGGTCCGCGCCGCGAGGCCAAGTCCAGCAAGGGCGCCACGGCCACAGCAGCCGAGACCACCACCGCCGCGCAGGAGGATGAGCCTGCCGGGGCCCAGGCCGAGGGCGAGGGCGAGGGGGAGGGGGAGGAGACGCACTACAAGCTCCAGTCGATGAAGTGGGGCCTCATCCCCTTCTGGACGAGGCGGAACCCGGACTATGGCTCGGTGATGAAGACGATCAACTGCCGCGACGACTCGCTCGCGCAGGCGGGCGGGATGTGGGGCTCCATGAAGGGCCGCAAGAGGTGTGTCGTCGTCGCGCAGGGGTTCTACGAGTGGCTCAAGAGCGGCAGGGACAAGATGCCGCACTTTGTGAGGCGCAAGGACGGGCGGCTGATGTGCTTCGCTGGGCTCTGGGACTGTGTTCAGTATGAAGGCAAGCAATTACCCTCCTCTTCTGTGACCGCGTTGGAGGGGGCCGAGCCCTCCCTTGAAGCTTGGGAGGTGGGACTGACGAAAGTGCAGATGATGACCAGAAGCACTACACATACACCATCATCACGACCGACTCGAACAAGCAGCTCAAGTTCCTTCACGACCGCATGCCGGTCATCCTGGATCCTGCCTCGGACAACATGAAGACGTGGCTCGACCCCCAGCGTTACGAATGGTCAAAGGGCCTCCAGGACTGTCTCAAGCCGTTCGACGGGGAGCTGGAATGCTACCCGGTCAGCAAGGAGGTGGGCAAAGTCGGCAACAATTCTCCCACGTTCATCATCCCCATCGCGAGTAGGGAGAACAAGAACAACATCGCAAACTTCTTCGCCAATGCCAAGCCGAAGAAGGGGGCATCCACAGCCGACGTGGAGGTTAAGAAGGAGGAGGGGCGGCGAGGGGGGTCGGTCGAGGCAAAGACGGTAGACGAAGTCGCCAAGACAGCAGATGACGGCGGCATGGGGATCTCACCAGCCTCGGGAAGGAAGAGGAAAGCAGGCTCGGAACCAGAGGAGGAGGAGAAACAGCCCAGTAAAAAAGGCCCCGTCACTGCCTCGCCGACAAAGGTCAAAACATCTCCCTCGCCGTCCCCGGGTAAATTGGCGCCGAAAAGTGCCAGAGCAATCAGTTCTACGAGCAACGGCACCAAGAGCCCAGCCAAGGGGAAGTCGAGCGGGACGCAGAAAATAACAAAGTTCTTTGGGAACAGTGCTTGATGACTTGCTTGGTTTGCGTATCTTGGCCGATGTTTGGTCATTGCTCTTTTCCTTGGTGCCTGGCGTTTAGGAGTAAGGGAAGACAGCTCACAGTGAGAAGGATGCTGCACATTCTGTGCTGTAGCTTACGAATAAGCACGATCAAAATCAAGTGTGATGTATCGGACATAGCGTGAAGAAGCAATGCAACCATGTCCTGCCATAGGAGGGTTCCACGGAGAGCTTACTCCCCGGCAGGGTATCTTGTAGATGGACATGCGAAGAGCAACATGCACAACATGATTCGAAGCAATCCCAACCCTAATGAAGTGCAGGCATCAAAGCAGAGTAGAGTGTGAATGGTGTTATTTTTCTATGGAGGGTATCTTCTATCAAGTATACAACGCCGCAATACCTGTGTAGGTACACATATTCAGTACGATCTAAGCCGCCGACTCCCCCGGCTCGTCCTGCTCCTCGGACTCCGGCTCCGCGGCGTGGTCCCACAAGAAGGCATCCCATGCACCCAGGTCTGGCTTCGGCGGGGCGGGTGCCTTGGCAAGAGGCTTCTGGGTTTCTGGGAGCTGCGGCGCCTGTGGCGCCTGGCCAGACCTGGCCTGCGACTCTTCTGCAGACCTTCCAGGGGCCTCGGCCTCGGCCTCGGCCTCTGTGAGTTCCTCCTCGCCCGTTGAAGGGGGATTTCCAGGGGCCGGCCACTCGTCTGCTTCCTGTCTGGTTTCCAGCGCGCCTTCATAATGAAGGGCCATTCCGTTCTCCTCCGCTTCACTTTGATGCTGCACGATCTCATCGAATTCATCCTCGTCCACCTGTTGCTGTCCCGACTCATCCTCCTCAATCGCCGCCTTGTTTTCTTCCACCTTCTGCTCCATCAGCCTGATCGCCTTGTCCTTGTCGCCGATATATGAGAAAGCGCGCATGGTCCAGTCGTCGCTGGTGAAGCCCGCACCTTCGAGGCGGCGCATGGCATCCACGGCTTGTTTGGTGTGCCCCAGCTTGGCATACCCTGCAGCGAGTGTGTTCCACGTCACAATGTTGGGTTTCACACCGTTGAGCTGCATGAGCTTGAGGACGTGTTCGGCCTCGTTTGTCATGCCATTTGAAAAGTAAGCCTTGAGGAGGATGCTCCACGTATAGATGCTGGGGCGAGGGTGGCGGATGGGAGACCTTGGAATGTTGGCGTTAACATTGGGATCTTCAGTGTTTGTAGCCAAGTTTGATCCTGGGTCACTGGTTTGCGGTCCAAAAGTCTGCCGTGACGAGGGCGGTGCGACAGCCGCGGCTGGCTGGATATCAGTCATCATATCTCTGATGATGCTGAGCATGATTCTCAGCGTGCCTTTCCACTTGATCAAGGACCTTAAAACGACGTCGTGAACAATTGACCCCTGTTCCTGAACAATACTTTGTGCCACGGGATCGCCTTCTCTGAGCAAACTCTTGAAGTGATCATAGAAGAGAACGACGTCGTTAGGCCGCGGGAGATGCCGGAGGAAACCCAGGATCATGAGACTCAGTGTTGAAGAGGTGGGTTGGATGAGCTCTAGGGGTGGTAGCTGTTGGATGTTATGGAAAGCACCTTGCATCCTGCTTGGCATGAAACCCTGCTTTTCCATGAAACTGCGCACATCACTGAATTCCGCTGTTATGAATGTTCGCAGGGGCTCAGGCCTGAAGAAACGAGAGAAGATGGCGTTCATCGGGCCCCATACGGCACATCGAGCCCTACGCACTCCTCCTGGCTGGCGAGGTTCCTTCAAGCATGCCAGAAATACTGCGTGTATCAGGTCATTCCAGACTACTGCATCTTGAAAACCTTCAGCGCGAGCGTCGGATGCGTATTGGAGCATTGTCGCAAAGTCCCCACACGACTTGAAGCCGTTCATCATGACTGAGTATGTGAAACGGTCTGGCTGAATACCATGTTGCTTCATGACCCCAAAGACTTCCATAGCTGTGTGCAAATCCTTCTTCACGCAGAGGCTGTGGATGATTGTAGTATAGGTGATGACATTTGGTACCAAACCACAGTCAAGGAGAGCTTGAAAGATTTCGGCAGGTGTCGGCAGGTTCTCGTCAAGCGCAAATAGATCATCATCCGTGAAGCTCAATAATGAGGTGCAGAGACTGGTGCCGAGTGGTGTGTTGATATCTGGCGACCTGGTTCCAAACAGATCTTGCGCGATATCGAGCGACAAGTCTTTGGTCGCAGGCATCTTCGCGAAGCGACTTGCAAAATGCAGCAAAGTGTACTTGTGGAGCCGAGTCTTGTGGGCGACAAGTTGGTAATACCAATCTTCGAGCTGAGTCGGTGGAATGGCATCGAGGATATAGTAGATGGTGCTCTGCGATAGGCGGACATAACGTTTCCCTTCATACTGGGCAATTTCAATTGCCAAATCAGCCAACATCTGGGCACAGTTCTGCTTCGCGGCTGGTGGCATCTGACGAAGATGATAGGCTAGAAACCCAAGGCTATCCTCAATCATGTAGAAGGGCAGGCGAGAGACAGACAATAATGCCTTGAGCACAATGGCACCCTTCTCAGGAGCATGCCGAAGGGTAGTGTACAGGAGAATTCTGTTTCTGGCCTTCTGCTTGTGGTCCGGGGACGAGTAACTCAGGAAAGTCGCCATGGAATCGGCGCTGTCGAGCGCCAGGACGCCACGGTGCATTCGGAGTTCGACGGACGAAGGGCTTTGGCTTTCAGGGTTGGATATTTCTTTCAGGAGTCTTTTCCAGGAGATGAAATCGGCAAATGCTTCGGAAAACCTAACCCCCTCCCTTTTGGTCATAGATCTCAGAATTTCCCGCTGGTCTTGGTCCCTTCGACCAAGAAGCACAGGAGGCAGTCGTTGTCTAGAAAGCACGTCGGCTTGCTTCGCCTGGGGTGGCTCGTCCCGTCTGTTGGGCTCTTGGTGCTCGACTTTTTGGGCCCTGTCGAGTGCTTCATCGAAAGCAACAGCATCCGGGTCCTCTTCCATTGACTGCGAAGGGCTGGGCGAGGGTAGCGTTTCCGGCGCTGGACGCGACTTTGATGGGCGAGACTCTCGAGAGTCTCGGGGGCTCAGTCGGATGTTCCTGAGTCTGGGCGAACGTGGGATGGCAAGTTCGAGGATTCGATCGATATCCTTGGAGTCTGAGAGCCCGCGGAGGTTGGCAGGGGCCCAGTCACCGTCAGTAGCCCAAAATCGCTCAGCCTCGTGGTAGTCTTGACCCAGACTGTCATCGTGGCTGTCGCGCTTGAAGCCATCGTTGCTGAAGCTGCCTCTGTCCCCTGCAACGGTCGAGGTGTGGTTCATTCGCCAGGGTAGCCGGGCCCATGGCTGGGGCCATCGACGTGTGGGTGCAGGAGTTCGCCATGGTTGCCCGAGACGCAGGATGCAGGAGCGGCAGACGTACTGCATACTCCTCGGCCGGTCTCTGTCGTTGAACGCCGTCTCCTCAACGGCAGTATCCCTTTCATATCGTTTCCCTTGTTCGCAGCATTGTTTTTGAGCAGGCTGGCTCCGTACGTGGTGGGGCTTTCGCGGAGGGTTGGTGGGAGTAAAGATGCTGGATGTCAAACTAGAAAACGGATGCGAGTCGCAAAGCTCCAAACTTTTTCCCTTGGTGTTGTCATCCCAGGCGTTAGCTCGGACGCTCGGACCACCACCCTCCTCCGGGGGCTTGGATGCAACGGCTAGGGACACCTACTAGGTACCTAGGTACCTGGGTAACTAGGTGCCTCGATACGTACCTACATAATCCTTGGGCTGGCACCGTCCATCGCTGCCCGACATCTGAATTGCAGATCACATCAATTGATTGAATGTTGAGGGAGATGGGGACAATCATGGGAGGCTCCATCTTCAGTACCTTTAGAAATCCCCCTTATCTATGAACCTCCATACATGCATCATCTATTCAGCGGCTCTCATCCGGGAACCTGAAACAGGCCTTGGGTGTTTCTGTCTTGAGCAAGCGAATATGACCCATCACATTCACCGCGCAATTATCCTAGGACTCGGGGTCCAGCAAACTTCACATGTCCATACTTTTGATGACTCTGGCCACTCGCACTGAGTCTATATATTTTCCTTAAAAGACTTGGGACGTACTCAACTATAATGCCTCAAAGTCACGACAGCGACAGGTGTTTTGCGACAGGCCTCATGGTCTCTGGACACGCACATAATTATGCCATGTCGTACAATTTTCCTTCTAATTTAAACTTACTCAAAGACGAATCTCCTACAGAATACCATGACCTCCTGTAACATTTTGTTGGTCAGTACGTACACAAGGCAACCTTAGTCTGGCATTCGAGCTAACCTGCCATCCATGGATTACAAGTTTCCTAAACGAAAGCAAAACCACATTATTGGTGCTTACCATTTCTGTCCGCCAGTCTCATTGCTGCCGTAAACATGTGTTCTGCTCCTAGCACAACAATAACTCAAAGGCTGTGCCTAGACTCCTACACTCTGAAGTGTGTTGATGAGCCTTCGACCTTTCGGAGTCTCCAGATGGACGAAGCTGTCAGCTGTGTCCTGTGCAATGCATGTCATCCGTCACATTAGTATTGAATGAATTGGTTTGAACAACATGTATCAATGCATTTGCATTACAGCCCAAGCTTAATAAATTTTAGATACAATTCGATTCATTTCGCAACGAAATTTCCCTAGGTATTCAATTGAGGTACCGAATAGATCTTGGTTTTGGCTTTGTCACATGGCATGAGGCTGTTGTGGACAGCGGTGACGAATGGACTAACTAACCGTGACACGTCGCGCTGACGGTGTCCTGATGGCACAATTATAGATTATTTCACTTTGAGGGGCAACATCTACGATGTCCCATTGTGTTGTGAGCGGAATAGGGCAATTGCTGTCTGGACGTGCAGCGACGTGGTCCTGCCGGAACCGAAATGTTGGATCGACTTGGATGTAGCCGGGAAAACAAGATTATTCATTTCATTTTTGCCCAAGAGAGTCTGCTAGTTCAAAAGGCCGAGGTCAGAATAATATCCAAACACGTTCAAGAAGGATTGCTTCAGCCTCAGATCTTCGTGACTCTCAACGACAAGTTCGTTACAACAGATGCCTAAACAAGATCCTCGGCGGCATATCCGGGTGAAGAAGACAGAACATGATAACTAGTGGATTGACGCAAGTAAGTCGCTCCAGTTGCATTCTTTGAAGTACCCTCGTGTACCTAAGTAGGTATGCAGTTCACCTACGAAGGATGACGACGCAGACCTTCTGCAGGGCAACCATTCTGCCGCACAACCAACACTTGCGTGCAATTTCCAGGGTCTTTACTGTGTGACACTGCATCGTCTTTCAGCCTAGAGACACTGACAGGGTACGTCGGTCGTTTTATTTCTCCATACATACCAACAGTTAGACGTCGTCTGCAAATCAAAAGGGGGTCCCCACAGTGGTCTGATACTGTGCACATGTGTCGAACGACCAGTAAAAACTTTGATAGGTCGGCAACGAATAAGCTACCTGGGTCTCGGCTCATATCCCCCGCTATGGATCAAATGAAGCAACGCGGCAACAACGATGGGCATTGAATATCATCTGACTTGCCGTTTCTGGTGCATCCTTCGACATGAACATGGGTAAGACAACTGACGAACGCGCATGTAAGTGGTTTAGCGTGATCAAAATCCGAACACTGGGGACCCGAACACGAATACGACCCGCATCTGTCTGGGCAGTATTGACATCAGTCCGTACTTTCTATAACTCCCGTCACTTGCCTGCATATTGGTCTTCTACTTCTCTGTTTTCCTGAGAGGACAGCTACTTTATCAGAATCGGTTGAGATCATTTGGGCATCAAACATGGGCTCCAAACTCCTCGCCCTCGAGTTGCCGCAAACAATAACTCTGAGCGCTGTTCCGTGGCTTGCTCTGTATGGCCTGCTGCTAGCCATCGCGATCAATGTTCTGCGCCAACAACTCCCTCGAAATAAATCGGAACCCCCTGTTATTTTTCACTGGATTCCTTTCGTTGGCAACGCCGTGTCTTACGGAACAGATCCATGCAAATTCTACAAGGAGTGTAGGAAACAGGTGCGTTGCATGCGCTGTAGTGTACGGGGCGGTTGGTCATTTGACGCTGACTTGTGCATCGCGATCTGCAGCATGGCGACATCTTTACTTTTATCCTCTTCGGGAAGAAGATGACTGTATATCTCGGACTGGAAGGCAACGAATTCATCCTCAATGGCAAGCTCGAAAACCTCAACGCCGAGGAGGTCTACTCTCCACTCACCACCCCTGTCTTCGGCCGGGACATCATCTACGACTGCCCAAACGCGAAACTAATGGAGCAGAAGAAATTCGTCAAGTTCGGCCTTACTCAACACGCTTTGGAGACCTACTGTCCGCTGATCGAGAATGAGGTCCTGGGATATATCAAAGGCTCTGCTGCGTTCAAAGGCCGCTCGGGAACCATGGACGTCCCGTCCGCGATGGCCCAAATCACCATCTTCACAGCCAGCCGAACCCTCCAAGGAGCAGATGTGCGCAAGATGTTGACGGGAGAGTTTGCAGAGCTCTACGATGAGCTGGACCTCGGCTTCAGGCCCATCAATTTCATCTTGCCATGGGCGCCACTACCGAACAACAAACGACGAGATGTTGCACGCACCAAAATAGAGTCTGTCTACAGGAAGATCATCAAGGAGCGCAGAGTTTCTGGGCAGAGGGCCGAGGACAAGGAACCCGACATGATTTGGCACCTGATGAGCTGCGCCTACAAGAACGGCCAGCCAGTTCCCGACGACGAGATTGCCGGCATGATGATCACACTCCTGATGGCGGGCCAGCACTCGTCCTCGTCCAGCAGCTCCTGGATCATGCTCCGCCTGGCTTCGAGGCCTGACATCGTCGAAGAGCTCTACCAGGAGCAAGTTCGGAACCTCGGCTACGACGGTACCCAGCCATTCCAATACTCCGATATCGACAAGCTCCCCCTGTTGCAGAACGTCATCAAGGAGACGCTCCGTGTTCACAGTTCCATCCACTCGATTATGCGGAAGGTCATGAAGCCATTGCCGGTGCCCAACACAGAATATGTTCTCACCCCAGACCACGTCATGGTTGCATCACCGATTGTCACGCATCTGAGCGAGGAGTTCTTCCCCAAGGCTGGCGTCTGGGACCCTCACCGCTGGGAAACCCGGGTCGAGGTTGAGGCAGACGAGGGAACGGTAGACTACGGGTACGGAGAGGTCAGCAAGGGAGTCAAAAGCCCATACTTGCCCTTCGGTGTTGGTCGTCACCGATGCATAGGCGAGAAATTCGCGTACGTCAACCTCTGCACCATCATCAGTACCTTCGTCAGGAACTTCAAGTTGAACACTCTTGATGGGAAATCACATGTTCCAAAAACGGACTACGCGTCCCTTTTCTCCAGGCCTGAGGCTCCCGCCTTGATTCGCTGGGAGCGCCGGTTCCCCGACTCCTCGTAGCGCTGAGGTGCGGGAGGGGCGTCGAGGCTTGATGGCAATTATGCAGTGAGATAACGGGAGACGAGATAGATCATAATTCTGATAGATAGGCTTCAGTATTAGACCGAGCGACTTTGAGCTCCAGTAGTTAAAATAATGTTTTGTGAGCATGTTTCAATCACTGAGCAGCGTGGAATTATTACAGGTAGAAATACCGTTCATCAACCGAAACCCTTCTCCTTTCCCTCATGGCCGACAGTACCTCCGCCTCCATTTTCTCGACATTGACGCCCTGTTGTTTCAGAGCCTCCGTTACCTCATGAGTTCTCCGATTCCTCTGAATCTCCCAGAAATACCACGGCGTAATCACACACGCCGTTAAGGGAACCACTATAGCCTAATAGAGCCAGAATTTTAGTGAGATGACTGCCGAAAAGCTTGCCGAGTCGTGAAAATCGAAGAACGTAGTAGACATAATAGACTACACACACAGTAATTAGTACTAAAGCCTATATCTACCTATATATCACAGCTAGCTACTTTAATTTACTCATTATAACGTAAGCCCTAGGGAAGAATATTACTTTAAGTATTAATAACACCTTTATTATTATTAAATTAATTTTAATGATATATATAAATACTTCTCTCTTTAATATAAAGTTAAAAAACTTATAATTATAATTTTTTAACTAATTCTTATTTAACTATTTTATTATATTATAATTTAATCTAACTTAATTTAAACCTCCTTTTAAGATTTATAAAAGTTTTTATTTTTATAAGTATAAACTTTAAATTAAAACTTTTAAACTTAAATTTAAAATTCTTATAAATTTTAATATACTTTAAATTAAGTTTATAATTCCTATAATAGATATAAAAGAGTATAACTAGATTTTAACTTAGTTATTAAATTAATTAATAAATTTTAAACTTAAGGTTAGAGCTTTCACTCTAACTATTTATAATTTAATTAAATAATAATTAAACTATACTTTAATTTTAACTCTTCCTTTTTTATTTATTATAAATAATAGCTACTTCTTAAAATTTATTAACTATTAGAATACCTTTATTATAAATATTCGAACTATATTTATTTTAATAATTTTTAATTAAAATATATTAATTTATAAATATTATAATTAACTACCTTTATTTATAACTATATTTATAACTAAATTACTTTTATAACTACTTATTAACCTATTAAAACTATACTTTTATAACTATTAAACTAAATTAAAAGAAATACTTTAATTAATCTAATTTCTCTCTTCTTCTCTCTCTTTTCTTCTCTCTCTTATAATAATAATATATAAAGCCCACCTAATAACCTTTATTACTTATAACTAAAAATATATTTACTTAAGAACTACTATAATACTATTAAAAGCTTATTAAATATAACTTTTATTTATATAAAAAATTTTAAAAGAATTTAAATAGCTTCTTTAAAGCTATTTATATTAAATACTCCTATTATTATATTAATAATAATAAGAAGCATTATATTCTCTACTATAAAATAAATTACTCCTTCTATTAAATAGCTCTTTAAAAGGATTCCTTTATAAAGAAAGTAATACTTTAAAACTATCTCTATAAATAAAATTATATAATTACTAAATAAAAGAAGTAACTTACAGCCAAACCCTTACTAACTAAACCCTTAAACTAAGCTTTAATTACTAACCTTTAATAGTAGAATTAAACCCTCTAATAATAAGTTAATACTCTTAAACTATAAAACATTATTTTAAATAATTAAAAGATTACCCTTAAAAATAACTATAAAACCCTCTAATAATAAGTTAATAACTTTAAATAATATAATTAAACCCTTAAAAGTAAATATAATACCTTTTAAAAGTAAGTTAAAAAGTATACTTTAGTTAAAACTACCCTTTAAATTACTTTTAACTCTCTATAATAACTAAGCTTTTAATAGTAATAAAACCTTTAATAAATAACTTTTAAGCTTATAAAAAGTATAATTAAATTTATTTATTAAAGTTTATTTTATTTAATTATATTTATTTAAATATTTATAATTATTAATAATTATTAATATTTCTATCTTTATTTAAAAATAAGCTAATAAAAATATCTCTCTTTTTTATATACTTATTAATACTTTTAAACTTATTAAATCCTTTAAATTTATTAATTAAATAACTATTAATTTAATAACTTATATAATAAATAAGTTTTATATTAATTAAATAATAAACTTATTAATTATATAACTTTATAATAAACTTTTAAAATATACTATTTATATATTTTAAAAAAGAACTATATAAAGTTAGAGTATATAAGTAATTAAAGTAAGACTAACTATTAAATTAAATATTAGAGCGACCGCTAGAGTAATTATTAGAGTAATTAATCGGACTATTAGTTAGATTATTAGTTAGTCTATTAGAGTGATTATTAAACTAACTTTTATTAAATTAACTATTTAAGTAATTAATTAAGTAAGTAAAGTAATAGTTTTATAGCCTTAATTACTTAAAAGATAATAACTTATATATATTTATAAGTAGTTAATAACTATTTATTAACTAGTAAAATTATATAATAATTAATTAATAATTAATAAATTAAAGTTTAATTTTATTTATTAAAGAAATTAAAATTTAAATAAATTAAATAATTTATAAAATATTAATTTAAGGTGTTTCTATAGTATTTAAATTAATTAAATTATAATTATATATTTAATAGTAATTTTAAATAAATTAATAATTTAATTAAAAATAGCTTTATTAATAAATAAAGCTTTCTAATTAATTAGAAGTAATAAAGATATTATACTTTCTTTTATTACTTAATACTTATAATAGGTATAAAGAGGTGTAAATAAATTTCTAGCTTAGTTATTAGATTAGTTAATAAGTTTAAACCTAAGGTTAAAGCCTTTACTTTAACTACCTATAACCTAACTAAATAATAACTAAACTATACTTTAATTTTAACTCTTCTCTCTCTTTATTTATTATAATTCCTTAACTTTTAAAAATATATTAATTATTTTAAATATTAATAACTTATTTTTAAAATAAAAGTTTATTTTATATAGTTATAAACTTAATTATTAATAGTTATTTTTTTATTTATAAATTATTAAAACTATAAACTTAAATAATAAAGTATAATTCTCTTATTTAATTATCTTTTAATTTAATAGATTATATAATAAATTAAATAACTACTTTTAAGTAATTTTACTTATTTTTAAGTTTATTAAATAAATATTTACTTAAGTAGAGTTAGAACTTTTAAAGGAATAATAGCTTTATCTTTATATATTTTAATTAATTTATATTTACTTAAATTATATAATAACTTTATATATAATATTTAATAATATTAAAACTAAATAACTTATAATTTATAATAACTTTAAACTTTAATAAATTAATAATATTAGTTTAAATTAATTAATTATAATTTAATATATTAGTATAAAGAGGTATTTTTATAATAAATAGTATTATAAATAATTATTAAAGCTAAGTAAGGTTTTATATTTAAAGCTAGGGGTTCTTTACTTTTAACTTTTATAGTTAACTATTTATTTATAATAAGTAAGAAGAGAATAGAATAGTTGCTTTTAAATATTAATTAAATAAAAATAACGAGGAATGAATTATTAATAAAGTTCTTTAAGGAAAGATATTTATTTATATAGTCTATATTTAAATTATTATTAATAGTTATTAAAATATACCTTCTTTAATAATAAAGATTATTAATTATAAATTAAACTATTTAAAAGAAATATTAAAAGTAAATATATATTAAAATATTTAATATATTATAAACTACTTTTTAAAAAAATAATCTTTTATTAATTATTTATATAATAAAAATCTTTTATTATTAATTAATATATTATATTTTAAATTTTATATTACTTTTTATTTTTTAATTATTTAAAAGTTTTAATTAATATTATATTAATAAATAAGGTTTTAATTTCTTTTATTTTTCTTTTAATTTTATAAATTTAAACTTTTATTAATTTATAATATAGATTAATATATATATAGAGTTTAAAATAATAAAATCTTATAAATACTTATAGTTAAATATAAGTTATAATAATATTAACTTTAACTAAAAGTTTTAAATTAATAAATATATATATAGTTTAGTTTTATAAATTTAATAATACATTAATATTAATTTATTTAAATAATATAATAAAGATAGTATTTTTAATTATTTATTATTTTATTTTTATTAATATAGAGTTAGATTAATATAAAATAATAAATAAGCTTATAAATTTTAAAATATATATCTTTTAAAATCTTTATAAAGGGTTATTTAATATTTTATATTATATTAAATACTTTTTATAGTTTATAATTTTTATTTAATTTATTATAAGTTTAATTTTATTAATATTACTCCTTTTAATATTTAATATATATAGTCTATAAATAAGATTTTATATATATTTTATTAAATTATTTAAGTTTTAAAATTATAAAAGCTTTATATAAAAGTCTTTTATTAATAAATTTAAGTTTATTAATTAGAAAATAGTTAGATTTTTAATATATTTTTACTCTTTAAAAGTAATTTAATAGATTAATTAAATTAATATAATAATCTTTTAATATATTTAGTTTAATTAAAAGATATAATAATATTTATTAAAGAAGTATTTATATATATTAAAGTTAGGTTTATCTTTATAAAAGATATATATATAAATTTTATTTAATTCTTTAATTTAAAAGGTAGTTTCTTTTTTATTTTATTTAAATAATTTTAATACCTTTATATAAAATTTTTAAATATATAAAAAGGAGTTATTTTATTTTTATAAATATTATATATATTTTAATATATTTATAAACTAACTTTTATATTCTATATTTATAGTTATTTTTAATTATTATAATAAATATTTACTTAATTTCTTATTAAATTTAATATTTTTATATAACTATTTATAAGCTATATAATATTTTTTAAAATTAAATTAAGTTAATATTAATTAATTTTATAACAAATTATAAAATTAATAATATTTATTAATTTAAAAGTTATAAATTTATTTAAAGTATTATAAGTTTAAATTTATTAATTTTTAATTTTTATAATAATAACTTTACTTTTATAAATTTAAATTATTTACTTTATATA